CCAACTGCAATCTTTCCCCAGCGCACATCATTGGGTCACAGGGATCCACACTAGTCATGACACAGGAGCTCTACGGTTGGCGACAGATGTCACCAGATCTTCAGCTTGGGTCATGCGGCCCAGATGTCTTTCTTGCCTCGGGTCCAAAGAAAGATGAGCAGCGCATCTATATCACTGGCCTGCGATGTCCCACTGTACATTGGTGTATTCGGACACATCTAACGTGTAATTGGTAATAAGTACGCGTAGAGAAATTACAATAAATTACATATATTAATTACATTACATGGCCATGGCCATGCCATGGCCATGCCATGCCATACCATACCATACCATACCATACCATACATATGTATATATATATACACATGTGTGAGTGTGTTTACACACTCATGCACACATACTCTTGGCACCGGAGTGTCGGTTTCGACCGGTACAATGGTATGTTCCCATGCCATTGATACCCTAGCGCCTCAGATGAGGCTAGAAAAAAATGGTAAAGAAGAAAGTAGGGATAGGAAGGGCACATAAGCAACATGAGACTTTGTGAGGTTGGAAGGCAATGTGAGAAACCCACTGATAAATCCGTTTTGGGTGTATGTTTTTAATGCCCCTGAGATGGTGTTACCTTAATTCTTCGGATGAGTCAACCCCTTAGGAAACAATTGGAGCTGCCTCGACAACATCAGCACTGCCGATTTTCAGAGGACGCTGATTCTCCTCACGTCGAGCCTGGTTCGCTTGCCTTGTGATTTCATGTGTATCATGTGTGAGTGCATGCGGGAACGTGTCAAGGTACACAGACACAGCTTTGCTGTGTATATCGAGACCTTCATTACCTTGAAGCAGAGACGGGGAGGGGGAGAGAGAGAGAGAGAGTGAGAGAATGAGAGATGCATAGTTCGTCCATGATATACATCATCATATCATCCATGCCAGACTATGCTTGCATTTCGTCATTTTATGATCTGCGACTTCGCGCAGGATTTTTCCTGAAACCTGTGCCACCGTGGCATGATTTAGGGAAATGTTGTAGGAAACCCATGGGTTTAGCATACATTCTTGTGGTACTTCGTGGTACATGTTTGTACCTTCTGGATTAAACCCAATTGTGGGACCGGTAAATCTTGAACGCTTCTGCTATACCATACAACATTGATTTGTTTTTTTTTTTAAGTCTGAGTGACTTCGAAATGAAACAAGGAGAAAAGGCCGAGCAATGTTCATCATCTTGTGGTTCCTAGACATTCTGCTTGGTGATTGATTTTCTTTTGTGGACTTAATTCTTTGAGATGAGCACAAATATCTAGCCAGGTGTTTTCATGGGAGGATTGAAACCAATGACCAGCTTTCCATTGAGTCTCAATTTACGTCAGGTACAGTATGCCTCTCCAAGACTCAGCAGAAGCGCGCACGCGCATCAAAAAGATGCAGCGAAAGGGGCTGACGCATTGACCTGGATTTGCTGGACAGCTTTTTGGCTCCATTTTGCGGTTTATATTTATGTAATTATTGGAAATATGTTGATATTGATAATCTCTTGAGAACATTCCAATCAATATATAGATTTTTTTGGTAGTTTAGAGTTCAGATGATTTTAGGATCATATTTCCGGAACATACTGAGAAGATGTTATCTCGTGGGGGAGACCGCTATTGATGGGAGCGACCATCCTGAACTTGGATACCTGTGGCTTCAGCGAAAGAACCAGCTGCCTGTGGTCATTTCAGTTTTTTGATACTCTGGTCTTGCTACTAGCATTACTAGGCCAAGGATCTGTATGTCTATATTTTGTTATATTCACGCATGGCGTTCACCTACCAATTACACAGTATCATATGTCATATAGATGTGTCTATGTCGTACTTAATCTTACATAACATGTTTTGGATCTACGATATTTATGTTTTGGATCTTCAATTATCTTCATACTCACATACTGTTACAGGTCACGTTCCAATGATTTCCACAAGCGTGGCTCTTCGGCCGGGAGGCTGCAGACGCAGAGTCGACGTCGCAAGGTGCAACTGACTGGAGAGTACGCTTTAGATTATGAAGCTTTAAGCATCAAAAATGATATGATAGGACCATTGGAATATAATGGGAAACCTTCCAACGATGGTTTAGATCCTTTGGAATTGGGGCTATCCTGGATCCTATCTTCAGACAAACTCATATGAATATTGAATTATTGGTAATAGGCGAGGAAATCATCAACAAAACGTGGATGATACAGACACAGTAACATGTTTGTACGTCCAGCTTCAGCAATGGTGTTCAATCTTTTCCACGATGGTATGGGGGGTATATAATCAAGTAAAATGGTTGCATGAAGACATTTGGCATCATTTGACGTTTTACAAGCGACAAATGTGTTGTAAGGAATAATCCAACTGGGATACAGGAGGTTGTCCAAAAAGGGCTGCATAGTTCACCCTTTTTTGCAGACCCAGGTATTGTGTGAACTGTTAACGGCTCATATGTTCACCGGTTTTTGACTACCTTTTTGGGAGGACAAACATGACTTGACTAGTGCATCTCGCTGAAGGGTTGAAACATGTTGAGACATGTTGAAACCACCAACTTAAAGATATTGGAGTCACTTTACCCACAACTTTAACTTGCTACAATGACGGTACGATTGTTGTTGGCAGGCTCCAAATTGTGTGGTTCAACCTTTTTTTTTTGAGATCTCCATCATCCTTTTCGAAAATAGGATTATTCGTGCGAATCACCGATGTCTCCTTGAGATGAGGTGGTTCCAAAGCGGTTCGTATCTACTGTAGCCACACCACCCCCAGTTGTGGGTAGACATGTTTCGGCAAATGTATCATAATTTATCTATATAATTATATTACATAGAGATACATACAGTCATATTACAGTCTATCTATTTCTAGATATGCATTTTGGTTGTTCACTAGGGTTATGTACTGTTGTTCTCACCACATCCCATGAAATGGAGCGTTCTTCGAAGATGCAGGCAGAACGAGTTGTGAAAGAAATCATCTACGCTGAAGAGGTTCCGAAACGCGGAAATCATCACTGGGTTGGGTTTGGACAAGTCAATTTGAGCGATGAAAAAGAGATGGCTATGGACATAGGCTAGGCATCAATACCTATAGATACCCTTTTTAGGGGATGAGCACTTATTTACAAGCTATTCTGATGTTTACCAGGGGTACAAGATTTTGACCCACAACAGGAATTGTTTTTAGGGTTTGAAAGATAGGTGCCCACCCAGTTTTCCAAGTGTTGAAATCATGTTCATCATTGTCCGGATTGACATGGTGATTTTGGAAAGACCGGATTTCTGGACCAATCCGGGTTGTTTTTGCTCAATATAGGTTTTGTTTATGTAACACCAACCTGTACCAACTGAGTTTATTCAAACTAGGGTACCTTCAACATCCAGTGATTGATCTTATGGTTCGTTAGAATTGCAGAGAATTGCAATGTTAAGGGATCCATCCAAAGCCGAGGACATACCACATACCCTCTGGTAATTTAACATAGCTATGAAAAATCCTCCAAGATGATTTTCCCAGCTAACCTTCATTTAGTTCGGGGATTTCCCAGCCAGCCATGTTGGATTGAGGGTGTCCCCATTACAGTAAATCCCGAAATAACATCCGTGTTCCCATTGTACCACCATTGTTGTTGGTTAAATCCCAATTTGTTCGCCAATATCCCATTAAAACTTAAAACCCAATTTTTGTTGGTTTAAATCCGGTTGAATCCCAATTCTTGCTTTTTCACATCCGATTGTCCCATTAAATCGCAATTTTTGTTGGTTAAATCCCAAAGTTTTTTTTTGGTCTCCCCATGTCCATTCACCATCCATGGTCCGCGCAACGTGTCCACCAGGTGCCTTGGCCGGTCAGCGATCTCAGCAACGACAGTCAGGTGGAGCACAGTTATTTATTAGAATATGTCTAGTATAAGTAATCACTACTTTTTAGAACCACACTATTTTTTTAGTGGATCACTATCGTCAGTACATGTTGAGGATATATATATATATATAACAGCTATTAATATAACTTATATTATGGTTGACAATTCTAGACTATATATGTGTTTTTGAGTATTAGAATCTGTTATCATGTATAACAATGGGTAAATTATATTCCTCTAGTTTTTTTGCAAGGGCATATTGTCTGAGTTTGTGATATCTCGTGTTATTTGTTCAGATGGTTTCATTGTGATATTATTATTGGACTTTGGCTGAGAAATTAGGGGGATTGCGCCAAAACAAATGAGACTGTAAATTGCTCTGAATATGGACATGTTTAGAGGTTTCTCGCAACCCTGATGGTTGTTCAAAAATTCTAATTTCTTCAGAGTTGAGCAAAGTGAGCGAAGGTTGAGCACATTGCGAGACAGTCGCCGGGATGGGTCTTGAAAAAAACCTTTATCACAGCTTGAATCAATGCACTGGACCTGCAGATGTATTGCTAGACCATACTGAAGCGACCTTCAGCGACCTTCAGGGGCTGATGGTATTGAGATTTAGGACATTTTCACAGTACTGTAATGGTTGTAGGTCCAAGACGGGGCATCCTGCAATCACACGGAAAGGAGACTAGCTTTGGATGTTCATCTAGCCACATGTTCCCCAGGTCTATTTAGATGTGAACCAGTTTGAAAATGGTTCAGAACCACAGTTGGTTCACGCGGTGACACCCCCCTCGGATACTTTTGCTGTGCATAATCCATACACAAATATAAAGTTATAATCATTCATATACATATATATATATACATAAACACAGGCTTTTGTACAACACTACCTGGGATGCACACCCAGATATCTAGCTATGATGGCTACGACACTTTGTTCTTCCCTAAGGCTCCAAAAAAGCCTCGCACAGGTGCTCGGTTGGATCCGGACTGTGGATCAAACTCGGTTTGGGGTGGTCTTCCTGATCGAACATCCACTGGGCCAAGATCCTTTCCATTCGCCTTCAGGTGACGATGACGAGGATTCCGAGGTGTTTCCAGCGGGAACCAAGGGGCAGGAACGGCTTAGCCGTACCATCCGCACCGACGGTAAGAATTGAGTCTGAGACTTTACCAGCGAACCATCCTGAGGTCCTGGTTGAAGGGTGATCCGATTTGGACCGATACTTTCAAAACGATTTAAGTCCCCATTGTTCGTGGTGTGGTGCAATTGCGCTTGGGTGGAGGAGTATCACGTTAAGATCAGCTACCACTCAGCCTGAAATTTCTCATAAATTCATATATATATATATATATGTATACATATGTGGCATATATATGTGCTTCACGCAAAGTCTTCCGTGGTCGCAGTAAGTTTCCCACTACTGATTTTAATATGAGGGCTTCTAGAAATAGGGAACCTCCGAAACCAGCAGGATTATATAATGTAGTATCTTTTAGAGAATCCAATCGTTTGGGGGTCTTGGACCTTGGGAGGTTCCCAATTTAGAGAAACACCCATGTAGAACCACTCAGTCAGTCCATGTTTCTTCTACATATGTTTGCTGTAGCCTTGGAATTGCACATGTATTTGCAGATTGGTCTTGACGTTCAACTCTCGATTTTTCCTGGTCAACTCAGCACGTTTTCATAACTGCTCATGGTTAAGTAATGTTAAGTAAAGTATGTGAAGTCCCCATTTTTCAGTTCTTCCCCTTCGTTCCCCTTCGTTCATTTGCAAAGTTCCTTTTTTTGGCAAAATCAGAATCTTTCCTGACAAACTCCCAGTGGCGCAGGTGGAGCGAGCCCTTAGACAGGAAGAGCTCCTACAGCGGATGCGAAACAGCGTGGAAAAGGCGCTGGCCGTGGCCGTAAAGGGCTCTGAAGATGTGAGGAAAACAGCGGAAAAAGGTCAAAATCAAGTGGTTTAAACGTTTAACCATGGTTTTCCATGATAAACACAGGATTTATGATGATGTATGATGATTTATAATGGCTTATGAGCATGGTGGAAATCTTATTGTCATTTACTGATTTGCCGAAATTTCGCGGTT